AGCCAGCATGGCTGGCTGGAGAGTTCTGGGAGTTGAAGTCCACACAGCTTAAAGCAGCTAAGGTTGAGAAACACTGGAATAGCTGGAGGATTGTTGGCTGCCTACCATTATCTAACCTTGCACGTGACAAATCCAGAATGTTTCTATTTAGGTTGATTCCAAATTTCAAGATACAAAGATATCAGTAACAGACTTTGTTTTCTGCATTTCTAGAAGCTAATAAACGAAGCTTAAAATGAGAGCTTTTTCTTTTTCCTGGAAAGCTTGTATTATTGGATAGGAACTAACGTGCCTGCTGTTTCAATTTTCAGAGCAGCTGCATGTGCAAGAAAGGCTATGCGGGTGATGGTTATACCTGTGATAAGATTGACCTTTGTATGATGGACAATGGGGGCTGCCATGAGCTGGTAAGACATGGGGATAATCTAGGAGAGCCTTCTCGGTTTAGTAACTTTCAGTTGTGTTGTCCTCTAGCTCCCCTGGCTAAGAGCCATGATAATTGCTGTGACATGGCTCATCCAGTAGGTATAAAAGGCACAGAATTGGGGATGCTGGGGCTACATGGAAACAGGTACCACCCATATATGAGTTTCAGCAGGTTTTGAGAACTAGAAGTAATATAAAGGCTACAGCACTTCTATGAGATGCATTCTTGCTCCTTCAGTCTCAGCCTTCCCTTCAACCAAATGTTGCAGGTTTTTGAAATCATCCTTTCTTAAAAAACAGATCTGAAAGTAGTTTCATGTACTTTTAAAAAATCTATTTAGGTAGATTTCATTTGATTCATAATTTCATTGAAACATCTGAAGGGATGGATTTCACTTAGTTCATACTTTCCAAATGAATTAGTACTGTATGCTAATTGGAATTACCTTACTGTATAGTAATCTTTCCAGAATAGTGGAAAGAAATCCTCCAGATAAAAAGTGCATTTATTAAAGTAAACAAACAATGTGTATTAATAAAATGTACAAACTACTATAGGAAAAACAATTACAAAAATGTACATATTTGGCACAGTTGCGTGCAAAAATCCTTACATCAGGAAAACACAAACAAAAGTGTACTTTTTTTTTTACAGAGTTTTTGAAGAATAGAATTAGGATGGGAAAAATGAGACCAAAAGCAACTATGGAGGCATTCGTTGATACCTGTTCAAATGCTTCTGTTCTGCTCTTACATAGTAATATGAAGCAGTTTAGCCTGCACACAGAGAAAATGGGTTGCTTTAGCACAGAAACCCAGAAGATAAAATGCATGTTTGTTTTTAAAGGCCTAGCCCATGTCTTGGTCTGAGGGCCACAACTGGTTTTTAGATACTGTGCAGAGGTTGTGTTTCCCAAAGCAGACTCCTGAAGCTGGGGCAAAGAATTCACTTTGATTTTGTAATTAAGATGAAATGTAGTTATATTATTATTCTGTAGACATGTACTGAATAATTGTCATCAGTCCTATTAAAATTTACAACTTTTGGAAATTCTCTGGGGCCACACAAAGATTCTGGGGATTCTGCATAGCCCTGAGGTTGATACCACTCTGTACCACTCTGCATCAGGCCTTTAGCATCCTATCTAGGGGACCCTGAGCTCTGCCTATTTTCTTTACGTTACTTTCTTATCGCTGAGTGTTGTCTTTTTTAAAACTCAACAGGCTGTATGCCAGACTCTCAGTACTGGGGAAAAACTTTGCCGTTGCTCTGAAGGCTATATAGGAGATGGAATTCAATGTTATGGTGATGTGATGAAGGTAAAAAGATGCATTTCCGTTCTCTTTCAGGTGGGGAGAGTAAGCTGATAGTATTAAAATCAGGCCTAATATCTCAATGGCCATGGCTCTTTCTGACTTCAGATATGGCTGGGAAAGGCCTCTTTCATGGCAACGTCTTTCAGACAATGCAGAGAATCTGGAGCAACATAAGCATCGAGTGGCTTCTCTGATTGTGCACAGCACAGCATCTCACTTCCCAAACTCGGCATTTTCTTATCATTCCCATTAATAAAAGAGCAAGAGTAGACAGAAAATATGCTGTGGAATATTTCTCTAAGATAAAAAAAAAGCACTGTTCTGCCTTTAGCTTCCTTATTAAAGGAAAAAAGTTCAGCACTTTCTAGATTTCCAATCTTAAACCGGAAACCACAGTGGCTATTGCAGTTTCTCACTGCATTACAGTGTTAAACTAATTCATAATTTGAATATATTATTGTATGAAGTTGAAGTACAATGGCTGAAGAGGGGATTAGAACCTGGGTTTCCTATATTCCTAGTCCAACACCCTGTCCATTATAGACTGGAAGTAGGACAACTCTCAG